GGACTCCCGCCAGAAATATTTTTTGGTATTTAATATTTATTTTTTTTCAGAAATAATATTCGGACCGAAAACGGTCCGAATATTATTGGCGCGTCTATACTGTTGACTCCCGCCAGAAATATTTTTTGGTGTTTAATATTTATTTTTTTCAGAAACAATATTCGAACAAAAAACAGTCTGAATATTATTGGCGCGTCTACAGTGTGACTCCCGCCAGAAATATACGGACCGATACCGGTCCGAATATGTTTATTAGTATATTTTCCCCCACCTGAATATATTCAGATCGATATTGGTTCGAATATTTATTTTTTCGGACCGACACTATTCGGTCCGTATATGGTCGGTCCGTATACGTCATTTTTCTAGTAGTGAGAACTAACTTTATAATATTTTGTTAATTTTGTAATTAACTATTAGTTGACTATTAGTTGATAAAAATCTATTTTCAACTAACAGAATTAACAATCAGTATAAAGTGAGGGTTATTTTCTTCGATTTTAATAGGTGAGAAGTTAACACCTTCAAACTTGATAAGGTGAGAGGCTAAAAATAGGTTTTTGCCAAATATATACATCAAATGGACAAATGGGAAAAAGGCTAAAATCCTAGTAGGTGGATGGTCACGAGGTTCGACGTAGACCGATAGACACATCGCCAACTACACTGTTAGTTGTTAGAATAATGGTTCAGTTATGAATGTTAGTCATAGTGACAATATTTTTATAAAGTCATTGACTTTACCAAATATTCTATCAATTTCAAAACTTAGTTATAATCTTCAATTATTATGACTTTTGATCATTTTCAAGCAGTCATTTTCTTTCTGTTACTCCTTTTGATCTTGTGCATTTTGACACTTGAGGTCTATTTCTTACGTCCATCATGGGGGTTCTAAGTATTTTATGTTTTTTATTGATGATGATACTTGTTTTACCTAGATATATTTTATGAATAATGGCTCTAATGAAATTGAGCACAATTTTGCAAAGAAATAGCTCACTTCCTTCTCAAGAAGGGATGGGAAACATGCTCAATATCATTTGATTGAGTAGTTGACCCAGCTCCTTGTTCTTTGAAGAAACCCTCCACTTCAATTGGTATTTTTTCACAAAAAGCAAGTATGAGATAACAAATCTAGTCTTTCACTAAGATTTCAAATAACTGTCTCAAATTCAAGTTGATTTTGTTTTGCCTCTATTTTTGTCAGAGAGTAATATGAATATTATATCATGTTCTATCAACACACTAAATGGATTATACCATATCTCTGGTGTGGAAGTCAGCCAACATTTACATCGACAAATCGAAGCTTTCCAAGTCCATGCCCAAGTCCTTATTACTTCTTGGGTTGTAATTGCTATCTTACGAGGTTTCGCCGTTATTGCAATTCGGAATCCAGAAACCATTCCAACCGACAGCTAAAATTTCTTCAAATATGTTCTTGAATTCATTCGAGACATAAACAAAACTCATATTGGAGAAGAATATGGTCCATGCATGAAAATAGGTTTTTTTTAGTCTTTTTTATCAATTAATCTATTAAGTATGTTTATATATACACATTTTTTATCCCTAAACTTTTAAATTAAAGGACAAAAGTTGTGAAAAATCTTAAAATTGGGGACTAAAAATATGTATATATAAATAAATAGGTACTTATTATTGAATTTAACTTGGCTGGATTCCAAACAGATTCTTGTTATTAATATTTACATGATTGGGCAATCTCGTTGAGTTCCTCCACAACCGCTTCCATACCCGCACCAGCTATCGCAAACGGGTCTCCCATAACACAGAAGGCATTGGACTTGCCCGCCACAGGAACATGGGCCCCTAGGCCTTCCGCTACAGAATTTACAATAACAAAACCCCTGGACTCGCAGATCTACAGATACTTTCACATGCTTTTCCGGAGGAGGAGGCGGAGGCGGATCCTTAGGTGGCTCTATGATCTCAATGCTCTTGATGCATCCACAAGCCTTGCAGCATAACTTGTCCCTGATCTTCTCCGGCGAGCAGCTCACCACCTTAATTGTCACC